TTCTTTCCCAACACTGAGCGCTAGAGCGCAGAGAAGAAGGGTACCCGACTTTGCGAGTCCATTTAGTGCTTAGGGACGTTTCTTCTTGACATGGCTTTATATAGTAAACAACCAGTAACAATAATAAACATAGCTTCTTTTAAACTAAGTTTTAGCAGCAAAGGGCACCGGGATAGTTGAGTCAATTGGATGTCCAATTATTACTTGATCCAAGCTTTTTGCAAGACGAAATGTTCTACCCACCCTGGGGCTCCTCCCCTACGAAGGCTTAGTTGAGATGTATATCCTTTTGGTCCTTTTGGCTAAGGACATTCCCTTAGCACGTGTAAGGTGGGTCAATATCCCTTCTTCTCTGCGCTTAGTGTTCAGTTATGCTTCTCTGCGCTTAGTGTTCAGTTATGCCTTAGCACCTGTAAGGTGGGTCAATATCCCTTCTTCTCTGCGCTTAGTGTTCAGTTATGGAAAAGACCTGATCTATATCCTTTTGGTCCTTTTGGCTAAGGACATTCCCTTAGCACCTGTAAGGTGGGTCAATATCCCTTCTTCTCTGCGCTTAGTGTTCAGTTATGGAAAAGACCTTCTCCCCACCTCCCAACTACATTTTCATCGCCTCCAATAGGTTTATGATGATTGTTTACTTTCGATTAATGTTCTTGACCTTTTCATTTGATTATAAAATAATGAGTTTGAGACAGCAGACAACATTAGGCTCCCGGTTCATTCATTCGATTCAAAGATTGCCAAAAAAATCGTCAGATTAGATTTCATTGATGATTACTTTTTGTGTCTACTTACTCATGATGCTCCGAAAAGTTTTCCAACTATGGTATGCTTTAAAATATTGGGTGCATGCATTAATTCTCGTTGTTTTTTCTGCGTGCAAAAACATATTCATTACAAAAGGAGAACAAAATATACATCAACCAATGTAAAGGCCATTGTCAGTGCAACGTCATGCCTTCTTTCAGGTAGCTTGTTGATTCCGCGTCTGAAAAAGTCTTCTTATGAGTCAATCCGGTCATCAACCCATTTCCGCATCTCTTGGGCATTTCGGAAGCGTATACCTGCCAAACTGACTTGCATGGACCGAGATAAGTGATAATGCAAAAGGGCTAGATCCGGGAAATATGAGGGCCGAGTAAGCTGATCCCACCCAGGAGCTGCAATTCTCTATGAAAATTCTTCGCAACGTGAAGTCCGGTATTGTCATGGTGGGACAGCAACTTGATATTTTCTTGCTATTAACGACGGCTTTTCGCCGAGGGGATGCGGCAAATTGCCAAGTTTGTGTTGGTTGCGAACAGCAGTAACAGTTTTGTTTGTATTTAGTAGCTAATAATACACAATACCCTTCTGATCTCACATTCACAGCATCACTTTTTGGCAGTGGACATTCCGCTTTCGGTGCGAACCCGCTTGTTGATCTGGATCAACGTACTCTGCTTTCTGTCCCGAATTACCGTAGTAGATCCACTTTTCATCCCCTGTCACAATCCGGTGAAGAAAATGTGTCCTTTTGCAGTCTTCGAGGTTTCTCCTGCAAGCCTTCACGCGTGCTTCGAGCTGCTTTGAGGGACCTATTTTCATAGCTTTGGTGTCTTTCCCATTGCGTGCAAACGTCGGAAATAGTCGCAAGTTTGACGTTCAGCTCCACTGTCAGCTCTGTTTGGGTCTAAGCTGGATCTTCATCCAACAATGTAGGCGGCACCTGCGAATTCTCACTTTTCTGGTTGGCCTAGACGTCATTTTCTAGTCATTCAAGTCGAAATCTCCACTTGTGAATCGTTGAAATCATTCTCTGCAGGTTCGCTCAGATGAGGCTTGGTCTCTGTAAGCATCGAAAAGCATCCAATGGGCTTCACTAGCAGTTTTCTTGAAATCAAACAGCAGAAGAGTCGCTCCTCGGAAAATCGACTTAGGTTATATGGACTTGTGGACGTGCGGCCGATGATGCGCGCAGCAAATTGCGTGGCGAAGTTCGCAACGATTTGAACGACTTAAGCGCCTATCATTGAGGCCCAAATTTGAAGTAGAGTAGATTGGAGGATCATCTGACCCTACTAAACTACTCTACATCGAGTTTGTGCCCTGAAAATTGGCGTCAGGATGGTACAAATCGTCACAAACTTCGCCGCGCAAGTTGCCGCACGCATCCTTGGACGAACGTAGTGCACGTCCCCCATCGACTTATTACGTTCCATGTTCAATCAGTTCTAGAGTGCGGAGCAACGGGGTTTTGTAAAAAATTGATCTGAAAACAAACCTACAACATGGTTGGCACAACGACCCTTTAAATTCAGCGGTGGAGGTTAATGCCCACACCTAATACATGCAAACCTATCCTTAGTTCTTTTCTCACAGAAATAATCGGTAAACGGTAACTTATGGAAAACTAGTAGTTATCACCGTCGGGTAGGTGTGCAGAATGTTTCCGATCATTCAGAGCACCCCATATGGGAGACCTTTGATTTTTAAATATTCATCTCCTCTACGGGAACATTATCTATGTTCCGCATGTGCAGCCCACACTGATACTAAATTAGCTGTCTTATCGCTATCGCTTGCTCGGGCCAAAGGTTATATTTACAAGAAAGGAGGAAGCATTGAACATCTGACAACATCCCCACCCATTTCCCTTCCCCATCACATTTTTCCTGCCAATAACTAGTTGGAGGAGAAGCGTTACGAAGATTCCTCCTATATGTGAGATTTCAAGTACAACGACATTTGTGTAAAGCGTGTTTTATTTGCTTTTGTGCAATTCAATAATCTAAAAATAAATGAAAACAATGATTTCAATTAACAACGTTACATAAAACACTAAACATCAACAGAGAATCACAAGAACAATACGCCCCTGAGGACTCAAAAGTAGAACTGGTATCAAGCATCAGGCTAAGATTTTGCATTTACACATTTCACACACGCGCAACGACAACCACCTCGCACAGTACCCACACTCAGTTACTTTGCCTCTTTCTGGCGTGGCAGCCTATATGTGTCACAATACAAAGCAAAACACACACACACGCATGATGATAGGTAGGATACAACGGATTGAATGAAGGGTGCACAAGGACAGATACACGGTAGAATGATTAGGTAGATTAACGTGGGACACACACGAACATGGATACACACCGAAGAATTCTCAAATCACTACATTAGCACTAGCCAGATTAAATGTGTTAGATGAAAATAGCTAAAAGTAAATGTGCTTGAGTACGAGACCAAGCATATACCCTACTACACTTCTTTTTATATCCAACTAAGCAGACTAGGTAGAAAATGATGGTGATTACTTATTTTCGATAGTAAAAGCTAGCTGAAGAATTATGCCGCATACAATAAACACAGCCAGTATGACAGCGAAGAGGGGACGAACACGAGGTTAGATGAGAAAGAAAAGGAAAAGAAATGAAATAAAGACTGTACAAGAGAACTACTCAGCAGTTCGTGGATTACACTGGTTGACTGAAAACGAGAATTTTCTCGAGGATTTGAACGGGATGATTGTACTGGTCACGAAAGGAAACATGATGAACGTTTGGAACTTGATAAGCTACAAAACAATACGAAAAAAATGAGGGTAAACTTGATATAGCAGTAGTTGGAGATACAAAAGGCCACATGACAAATCAATGGTTAGTGGCAGCAGAGCATTGGGGTTAATGGTAAAGGCTCTGTACACGACGTTGACGGTAATAAGCCGTGATGAGAACAACTTTGGCTTATGGTTTGGTGTGAGACCAACGCACAGCATCGATTTCATGATCAGATTATAACCATGACGAGTAGATATTGGAAGCTAGAGGCTTAAAAGGACTGGCCTACTTGGGACTGGAAGTTTCCACATCACGTCGCTTTCACAATAGAGTAGGGACGGGAATCAGTCCAGACGCTTTGGCTGATTGGGTTTCTTCACACGAGAGTAGTGATTAGTGAGACCTCGAGTGAAGTACAACATCGACGCTTGTAAACGTGCTTCCATGATAAGCAACATGACGTGGATCTTGAAAGAAAACATTTCCAATCGTTCCCAACGAAAACATTCTCACTTTAGCAGATTCTATCCAGTATTTACCTTCTCAGACATTTTGAAGTCTTTCATGACGGAAGCTCGAGCATCTTCTGTGATCCGATGAGGGTAACATGCCGCCATCTTCACGAATGTCTTCATTTCACGAGACAATAAGGTGTTTACCTAAAATAATCGGCTTACTTAGACCTAATCACCTGATGTTACTGCCTCGAACGTCTTGAAAATTCAGGAAATTAAACATACAAAAGAATGTCAGAGGTAAAAAATCCTTTTCCGAAATAGAAATACCTTCTCTTGATATTGAAAAAAATAAACTTACGTAGCCCTTTTAAAGAAATTGCAGATACAAATTTAAGGAAAAGAAATCAGCAGTTCTACAAGACCACAACAGACTAAGCGATCATGCTATCTAAACAAAATGGCTATCAAGAAACGTTGAGATAGTAATCACCGAGTTCCTATAAATTTATTTTTCCTATTATGGCCACAAGTTTTACTAATTACAGTGATATATAAAAACTATTTCTCATTGCCTGTTACGATTCACTTTGAAAATACACCGATCTTGCTTCATTGGAATGAAAATTTAACTTCAAAAGACCAGGGAATTAGAAGTTTTTCAAAATTTCGATTTGATGTAATCGTTTCGAAACGAAGTGGTCGACTGCAAATAGTCCTCTATCGCTCCAGATATTTCGTGCCGATTCCCTTCCGATTACTTGCGTTGCGCAGGGTCAGCCTCATGGAGTCCTTTAGAACAAGATACCTCGTAAAGGTTAAAAATTTGCAGTGATAACATCGAACCACAAGAGAGTTTACGTAACCCGTTTGTAACACATTTTCCTTCTTGCAGAAGCGTCCTCCTTGATTTTGAGGGAATGGTGGAAATAGTTCAAAAAAGCTATTAATTCTAGATAATTTCTGCTTTCATTCCTATTTCCGCCTCCCGTCACCAGAGAATGACATATTACATGTAGTTGTTTGTAGTAACAGTTTTGAGCGAAAGCCGCAACACAATCCAGAAACTTAAACGCGTAGGGCTGTCGAATGTTGTCTAATTGGGTCCGGTCCAATTATGTCAGATCTCTATTACACCGATCAAGTCAAAGCTAACGAACCATCTGGGCCCGCAAGCCCTTGTGACTATCACGTATGCACTCATACCAATACAATTTCCAATATTACAGTTACTGAACAGACCTTAGCATAGTCGTAGTCATCGTGTCGAATACCAAACAGAGCGTGGATGTAGTTCCAGATTGCGCTTCGGTATACTGTTGTGTCGACATTCTCGTAGCCACCCATGCTGAAAACAAGCAAAAATATTTATAGAAAGTATTACACCTCACCAAAACTCCGCTTATTTCTGTTCACCAAGAAATCTCTCGAAATAGAAGCCATATTGAACTTTATGCAAAATGAACTGAGCATAACCATATTTCATCGGAGAGTTAGTGCAATCTTAGGCGCCTCATTTATGATCCAGAAACTGTGCTTTCCCGGGTAGCTGAAGCTTCAATTACGAGAAATACCAAGATCATGTGAGCGCTGAGCTGTTCACTCGTGAAATGTCATAGGTAAGATTCGATATGCTTGCTATCTCTTGACACGAAACAAGAAATAATGTTTTGTAGTCGAAAAACATAAAAAAGTATATAATAGATGGGATCGAAGACCTCGTTAGAACCCGCATTGCCTCTCTATTTTCGAAACCCCACAACTTTCAAGTTATGGAAAGTGATCTAAATGGCAATTCAAGACTAAAGTACCACATGAAAGTGGGACCAAAAAAAAGAATCAAATTATCTGGAACTGAAGAACTTACAAAGAGTACGTAAGCTTCTGCGTGAGTTCGAATTTTTCATCCAACTTCTGAGCTGATTCTGGCACGAGATCGTTAAGAATGCTGAACCCGTGATGATCCCATGTGAACTCCTAAGAATGAATATTTTAGATTTTGGAGCTTTTCATCAAACAGTAATTTTGGCACTTACATGTATCTTGAAAGTTTTCACGCGATCTTTACGCGACGCAAAATCAACGTATCCAAACTCCTTCTGATTGCTGAACTCCGGTTCCTCAGCACCAGACTGCCCCACGGGTGACTCGCCACCAGAATTTACGTCTAAAACATGTAATGTAGTTTGTCAAGTAACAAGGTATCTGCGCACAGCAAACTATTGCTCAGTTCCTAAAACTTCAGATATTTCCACGTCCATTCCTTCACTGTAAAACTACCTACTGTATCCAGGTGGATGCTTTCAGAGTTCAACGGCGTGCCGACCGACCGCCCGACTGACGACGTTGCAGCCACGTGTTGACAATGCAGGACAGACTGCGCTCAGGACCGCGTGAGCGGTAGCGGTATCGAACGCAATCTATTCTGCGTTTTCAACACATGGCCAGCAACCGGTCAGTCAGTCGGACGGCACGCTGTTGAACTCTGAAAAAATCAAGACGAAAGCAACAAACCTGATGACCCATCAGCTAAGGCAAGAAAATATAAGGCATTATTGGCTGCCACCTCTGCTCCATCGTTAGTTGGCCTTTTAAGGCTAGCCATACGACGAAGAAGTTCTTCGACCTGCAATACATAAATTATGTACCACGTAGTATTTATTCATTTATTTATTTATGAAACATTTGATATCTTTAACAACATTTCCTCCTATGAAGGAACCTCATGAGTTCGCTTTAAGGTGCATACCTCTCCTGTCTTTACTCCACTATTTTCCTTATTACGCAGAGCCCAGTCCAGACCATCAGATCGATGTGGTCTGAAAGTCCAAATTATAAAGGAGCACGATGGCAAGACGACAGCTTAGGTACGCGTTGTAATCCTACGCCTCACTATGAATTAATGACCCGTGGAGCTACGGAGCGGTCACGTGTGCTGAAGTCATTCCATGTGTATAGGATAAGTTTAACAATAACAGCATTTGCAATAACATTTGAACAAAGGCTCAGATCACGCGTGGTCTGGTGGTTATTTTAGTTCGAGAACACCCTTTGAACAACCACAACACGTTAAGATGGAATTGAGTATTCAAAAGAACTTTACTAGAGCTCTTCTGCCATTGCTAAAAAATAAATAACGCAAAAGTAGAATTCAACAAGCTCATAGATGCTCCCAGTTTACTTTCCTCCTGTGTAGCAAGTTCCATTTGACGGGCCAGACACTGCTATCAGTCCCAAATTGGGGTGAACATGAAAACTTTCCCCCGGTCGCATAACTCTGTCGCCAAGGGGAAATTTGCCTTTAAACGGAGCCCTGATTCGTTTAGCAGAGTCTAAAGTATAGAATCAATGCAAACGTACCCAAATGGTATATTTGGATGAACAACTCCTGCAGTGTGAACGAATGAACAGAGAGCATGAGTGTGACTAAGAATGACTACAGCTTGTGCAAGGTCGTGTAGAGACCAATGTGTTCGAGCATCACCTTGCACAAGACCCTAAAAATCACTGCATAGAAAGTGAATGTACATAGAAAAAACGGCATATCCTACAAACCGTGATGTAATCGCCGTCCACAAGCCATGGCTGATGAGCTAAGACCACATTGATGCTATCGAGATTGAGAATTTTTGGGTCATCGACATACTTCAAACCTTTCAACCACTTCGGATCACCACCCGTGCGCTCAAATTCCCGTTCGTGAAGGCTTATCAGATATGAACTCAATCAAAGTGCAATATTTCACTAGTTTACTGAAGTACACTGCCAATCAAATCTTGATAAGCGACAGAAAGTCTCTCAGATAAAACATTTTTTCAATGCCTTTGAATACCTATAAAATGCTATTACGTCACCAATGATATCGCTCCAAAACAAGGCAGACTGCTAGGCCCTTTCACTTCAATGAAACTGCCAGAAGGTACGACATGTCACCATATTGTTGCACAATGAATGAATATGAATCTTTTCGTAAAGGCAAAAGTCATGGGATAATGAAAGCCAAAGCTTTACGAGGGCAAAAAAAGTGCATGAATGCCCACCCACTGGAAAAACTGGAAATCCTGTAAAAACGCACTTGACGATCGCGATAAAATGAAAAAAGACTTCTGACAGCCCTTTTTTTCAATAAAAAAAGGATTGTCGATGTATTTTTCATTTCATCGCAATCATCGAGAATCAGAACTCGGTGAGAAATTTTAACAGCAATGTAGCACCCGCAACAGTAAAAGCTGAACAAAGAAAAGCACCTGTGCATAATTTTAAAAGAATACTAAGAAAAGGCGTGAATGGTTGTTCCTATGGTTGAGACCAAACTTGAATATTTGAGACCAAACTTGAATATTGATGCAGAGCACTTGGTTGTAAGGTGAATTGATTGCGCGCGGCATCTTCTGACACACGTCACTGACAAATTGAGGACACCGCTGGATGTTTTCCTCGTATGCACTGCTAGTGACAAAGCGTTTTAGGAGTACTTGACAACGAGGATTCCCATTTGAGGTGGTTGAAATGAAAATACTATAGCTGAACGTAATTCATAGAGCTGAGTTTACTTTAAATATTCTGCGTGCGATTTCACGGTTCGGAGTCTTTGAATACGAGGTCCTATTGAGGTGAATAATACCCCCAAAGATAGATTGGGCTTGGTCGGATTGTTCGACTATGCTAGACGAAAACAGTTCGTTTTCTTTCCTAGCACAAGACCACGTCGGCACAAAGTGAATGCTATTCCAATTAATTGGCTTAACTCTTAAATAGTTAGCTAGTTGTCTCTGTCAAACAGCCTTCGAGAAAGATTTTCAGATTAGTCGAAAGCTGTTTCGGAATTGGTGTGTGAGTTCTAACGATATAGTTTGGTAACATAGAACTGAGGCCTAATTGAGGAATTTTTCTGAAAGAACTAGGAGTATGTCGCAATCGCACTGAAAAAAAACCTGGAATATTGCACTTTCAGCATTTTTATTCATTTATTCAGCATTTAATCTGTTTAAAAGATGTAGCGTCAAAATCTATCGCTGGGCATACAATACGATCATTGCAGAATAAGAAATTTCTCTCAAGGTACATTAAACGTTGAAAAATACGCCAAAAGCGCCAGCCAAAAGTGCAAATCCCCCATTATTCTCTGATCAAACAAGAGGCGGTCTGCAAAAACCCCCACATCACGCTTTTTGAATGCATACCCCCAAGTAAACATTTGGAGAGCTTTCAATAGATTGGAAAATCTTTCCAGTTCATAAGGGACCCGACACAGAATATCGACTTTGCATCGAACTTCTCAAAACGGCAAAGAAAACATTTCGCGAAATAGTGCGAATCAATTTAGCGCCTAATATAACAACTATTTTGTCATAAGCAACCTCAAAACAAACCATTTGTGAAAGTCCAGCGAAATTCAAGGAAAAAAATCAGTTCCTAACTGAAAGTAAAGTCTGTGTAAGTTGAAAGTATGACGTAGATCATAATTGTAACAAAAGAATGACAGAGCGCTCGAACTCATTCACACAGGAATAGCCTACCTAGATGGTATACTGGGAAAGACTGTTACAGCAGTACAATTGCAACATCCCTATCTACCCTGACCCTTACTTGCTGTTGACGGGCTATAATTGGCATTTCTCTAAAACCTCTGTTTCAAAAAACCTTTGTTAAAACAGCTTGTAAAAAATACTAATTGATTGTAGGCGCAGCTACCAGGGATAGTTCAACAACCGACCGAAAACCGAGAAGCACCACTTTCATTCAGCAAAAATCGTTATTCTGAATTGACATCCGAATTTATCCGAGGCGATAGGAACCATCATTTACTTCGTACACACCAGGTATACGTAAATTGTTATTTACTCATCGACCTGTGTACACAGTAACGCAATCCGCTGCACGACAAATTGAAATCTCTTCTTACACCGCAACCGGAATCAGTCGTCAACATTTGCGCATTACCAAGCCACAAAAATCGCGACTGGTCCCATAGCAAATGGTACAATTGTGGTCAGAAATAATGCCAATGAAGGTTGGTGGAAGAAGAAGTCAGTTTAATTTGCGATTAGAATCAGGGATAAGATAATATAACTGAGGGTGCACTATTGGGGAATGGCAACTAATGCGCATCGAATAAGCGCCCAAAATCAGCTTGCCGATGTGCTTTCTTCACAACCCGCTCACTTTAACTGCTGCATCGAGGAAGGCAAAGATTGGTGATGCGCTAAAAATGCTGCAGCGAGCAGACTATTGGGCAGACTCTCTTATCGCCGCCTGTTAAATCCGTGACAAAATCGTATCTTCCTAGTCGACATAAGATAACAATTTCAGTTCTCATCAGGGCAAAGTTTTGATAGAACATGATTTGCTCAACACCAATTATGCATCATAGATTGAAACCGTCAGCAAAACATCCTACTAACTTCTCTAATTGGCACTGAAGGAATGACAGTTAACTGAGTGCCTAGTTCTCGCAGAAAGGCACAACAACAGCTTACATTCAAAACAGTTATTACTAGTTCGAAATTTTTTTGATTGGCTTCTGTGAAGCAGCTACGCTGTTTTTCGAATGCAACAGAAAACCGACCATGATGGCAATGAAATGGCGAACAGAGTCCTTTAGGTTACCGACGCCATAGAACAACGTGCTGATCGTTTCAGTGAACAGCGCGTCGTAGCTGTGATGTTGTTTAGTGAACCTAAAAGGAAAATCGGAATCATAAGTGCAAAAAGCCAACAACATGGATTTAGCCCCCTTCAAATAGATGGTTAATCTCTCCGTATTGCCAAACTCTTTGACTGGGATTACAAGACGTCCTATTGACCAAATTGACCTGAAGGGTATGGGTTAGGGCGAAAAAAATAAAGAGATGAGGGCAGAACAAAGTGCAATAGCGAACAAAGAATGTTCAGAAAAAAGGTTAGGGCTTTGACTTAAGCGGAGGAAACCTCGTGGAAGCTGAGGAACCAAATTGAGTTCATTGTATCGAAATTTCACTTCCAACTAACGCATTTGAAAAACAGCTCATGATGGGAAACTTCCTCTTGCGAAAAAAAGACGCCTTATGGCTACGGCTAAGATATGATAAGAGCCATAATACCAGCGGATTTTTGGCTTTACCTAGAGCTATGTGCACGTCTTAGGACTTTACAACTTTATTGAAAATTTTTCCTCAACCTTGGCACTACGGCAGATTGTGCCTCACAT